ACCGCGGTCGACTACGTGGGAGTCCAGCGACATAGCCATTACACTAACTGCTGGTTCCCTTGGTTTTATTTTTAAAGAGAGAAATATTTGATATAGAGCACATGTGCTTGCTGGAGAGAGAGACAGAAAGCCAGAAATCATCCCCAGGGGTGATGGCCACACCACAGTCCCTTCTCCTCCATTCTCCTCTTGGGATTTTGGGCATGCACACACACGCACCCGGTGTGAGTTTTAGGCTGCTGGGTCTGGGACTTGAACCGCAGTCAACTATGTAGGAGTCCAGTGACATACCCATTATGCCACCTCCTGGTCCCAAGATTCTTAAAAAGTGAGGTTATGGGACTTAAGAAAGTTCATGAAAAAATGAAATTAAAGTATGAGTTTATTTTGGTGTAAAAATTTTTGAAATCCATGTAACATTTTTTCACAATACACATTTTTTTCATCAACTTTCTGAAGACCCTTGTACTAAATTGACTGTTTTGAGCGGAAATATGAATGACCAAAGTACTACAGTGGTAAAAAAATAAAGAGCCCAGAAACGATAGAAGAATCTGGAGAGGCTATGAGTTCTCAAATCTAAAGAATTACTAGGCTGTCTGGTTATTTTTTGTGTAGTCTGTGTCACTTAAGGCCGGAGTAATACTTAAGGTTAGTGTACTATTCTATTCTAGAAAAAATGAAATGGTGGAAAGTACTCCATTTTATAAATTCTCTGTAATACCGTTATCAAAACTGGCAAAGGTAGCATTAAAAATTCTAAGTAAAACTTTATATCAAATCTGCTCTTTATTAAGAAATAATACACCTGAGTAATGCAAAAGTCTAATAGTACACTTCCTGTTCATTTCTTAGATAGCAAATAGAAAAGAGTATATAGCCAATTAGATTGACGTTACAACTTTTAGTATCTTTAACAATTTAAATAGATCAGGAAACATATTAGAGGAGTACCATTTATCTTTTATATAAAATATATGCAGTTTTTTATTTATATGACAACACTGCATAAATAACTGCTATTCTGGTGGTACTAACTCCATTACTTTTAGTAACCTCATTTCCCACAAATAAATTGTTAAACAAGTAAAGGGAAAAAACACTTATTTTATAGCATGAGTTTATATAGTAGCATAATTCTTCATTCTCTTGAGTGTTAAAGTGTTAACTTTGATGCTAGTGTTACTGTCTTCTCTGCCAAAGTATGATTGGATACCTGTATGTAGATAAGATGAATACAATGTTGAATGATACCTATTTTGTTTAAATTTTTTTCCATCTTTAGTGTCAACATTCATTAATTTTGAACTGACATTGGGTAGTTAATTTGAATTTCCTTAGAAAAAACTTAGGTGTTTACTACAGATAACGTTTACTTTTGAGAATTACAGAATTTTCATGGCTTGACACTTTTTTTTTTTTTTTTTTTTTTTTTTTTTTTTTTTTTTTTCTTTTTTTTTTTTTTTTTTTTGGAGAGGTTTTTTTTTTCGCTATAGGGCGTGTGCGCTCGCCAGACAGACAGAGAGAGACATAGAGACAGAACGCGAGAAAGCACCCCCCAGGGGGGATGGTCACGCCGCAATCCCTTCTCCTCCATGCTCCTCTCGGGATCTTGGGCACGTACGCACACGTGCCCGGCGTGAGTTTTAAGCCACCGGGTCCGGGACACGAACCGCGGTCGACTACGTGGGAGTCCAGCGACATAGCCATTACGCTAACTGCTGGTTCCCATGGCTTGACACTTTTTGATTAAATTTCACAGAAGTGTAGTATAGAGGCACAGAGATTACCGTTTTCATACTATTTAAGGAAGTTTGCCACTGCGGAGGCCATCGTGAGCCAAGGGCCACATTTTAAGAAACACTGGTGTGGGACCAGCAGGTGGTATGGGACCAGCAGGTGGCGTGGTGGTTAAGGCACTGGATTCCCACTTGGATGAATGCAGTTTAAGTCCTGGACCTGGTGGCTTGCATATCACTATAAATAAACAGGTAGATACACAGACAGATAGATACATGTGAAAAAGGAAACACCCACATAAGAGAACCACTACCCACCACAAACATTTTTGCATACCTCCTAAAATAGTTTTGCTTATGTCATGAGAAAGGACCCATCATGGTCTTCATGCTGCAATCTACCCCTGCCATCTGCTGGTCCCTTTTTTTTTTTTTTTAAGCTTTTGCTAGAGGGTACATGTGCTCACCAGAGAGACACAGAAAGACAGGGAAAATGATAAAACACTTTCCAGGGGAGATGGCCACACCACAGTTTCTTACTCCTCCATTCTCCTCTTGGGATTTTGAACACATGGCGCATGTACCTGGCATGTTTTTCATGCTGCTGGGCTGGGACTTAACCGTGAAGTCAGCTATGTGGGATCCAGGTGCCCTTAACTGTTATGCCACCTTGCAAATTGTTATTTATAATTTTTGTGCTGGCTTATACATCTATAATTAGTATATCATGGTGCCTCTTCTCCTTACTAATCAACATTGTAAACATGAGGCTTGCCAGTGACATGGTGGTTGAGGCACTGGACTCCCACATGGCCGACGGTGGTTCATGTCCTGGACTTGGCTGCTTGCTATCTCACTCTCCTTTCTCTATCTCTCCGTCTGTCTCTGGTTAAAAAGAATAATAATAAAAATTAAATAAATAGAAATTCTTTAAATAGAAATATGTAACATCTTTTGCAGTCTGATTGACAAGTTTTATTTTGTTTGAATTCTAGTGAGGTTGAGTATATTTTCACTTACATTTCCTTGTAACTTTTTTGTTCTGTCCTTTTCTCATTTTGTAATGTTCTTTTTATTATCATGAATTGTATTTATATACAAAATGCATATGATATATTTGGGATTTAAAGATAATCTGATACATACCTGTATACCGTCTATTTAAGTTATGAAATTGGAAGCGTCTTCCCATTACCGCCCCCATTGTGTTCTCTCTGGTCATGTTCTACTCAGCTTGTATGAAACTAGCATTCTAACTTTTGGTATTTTTATGACTGTCAATACCCCATTGATTAGTTTTGAAAATGAAGTGTGAACCTGAACCTGCCTATGTAGTGAAAGGGTAACGGTGCCACTTCTACACAAAGGCTCCTAGAAGTTAAGGTGAACAAAATACCTGACCCATAGTCTGGTTTTAGCTTCTCCGATATGCTACCAGAGTGCCTTTGGGGAGAAGTCAGTGTATAAAGTGAAGAGTGAATCCTGGGACCCATAGGGCTCACCATAATTAGAGAATCTGGCAGGCCTGTAGTGTAGACTAGATATTGGATATCTGGTGGGGTAGCTAGGCTGCTCTATTTTTTTAGTTTCAAAGCTTACCTTAAACTCAAATGATTCTGTGTATAAGTGCGTGGAGGGGAAAGCAGAAACATAATCAGTTTAAATCAATGCAAATTAAGTACAGATAAGAATCTGGGCCAGGTTCATCCTATAGATTCTGTATTGAGGTTGAAAAGATGGTACAGTGTCAGTAAGATTCTTGGTGATAGAAGTTCTTGGTGTGTCTTATCTTTTGACGTCTGCAATGTCACATCTTTGGACTGAGGAGTGATGTGGTTGGGTCCATTTGTCTTCTTAGGATTTCCCTCTACTGTTACCTTGGAGATATTATTGATATTTACTTTTCTTTCCTCTGATTTCCTGTTGCCTATTTCATGTCTTTCTCTTTCTTGGTTTATTCTCATTTTGCTGTACATTTACTTTGTAGTAACTTCCTAAAGAAGGATGTCTGGCAGGTAAATTTTGAGATTTAGAATGTCTTCCTTTGAACCTTATACTTCATTGGTAGCTTGGCAAATTATAGAATTCTCCATTGAAAGTTTTACCTTTTCCATTCTCCTCTTGGGATTTTGGGCATAGTTGTGTGCCTATGTGCCTGGCATGTTTTTCAAGCAACCTTAACCACCATGCCACTGGCTAGGCCTCTCTTATTTATTTATTTATTTATTTTTTTGGAGAGGTTTTTGCTATAGGGTGCATGCAATTGCAAGAGAGAAAGTGAGAAATTACCCACCAGAGGGATGTCCACGCTGCAATCCCTTCTCCTCCATTCTCCTCTTGGGATCTTAGGCACACACACACACACACCCACACATGCCCGGCATGAGTTTAAGCCACTGGGTCCGGGACTCGGACCGTGGTCGCCTACATGGGAGTCCAGTGACATAGCCATTACACTAACTACTGGTCCCATGCCTCTCTTATTTTTTGTTTGTGTTTTTATTCTACTTTTTGAGAGGTTATCTCACCTTTACCTAGCAACTCTTCCATTTCCCTTTTAGCTTTTGTCTTTTTTTTCTTTTAATTTCTAAGAGTTCTCTTTTTGTTCTTTTAATGTTCCTTTTTTGTAGCATCCTGTTATCCCTTCTATCCCTAAGAAATCAGTGAGCTGTCTTAATTCATACTGGTCCTTTTTCTTTTTAATTTTTGAATTTTTTGCCATAGAGCATGAGTGCTCGCTGGAGGGGTAGAGAGATGGAAAGTGAGAAATCACCCCCAAGAGGGGTTGGCCACTCTGCAGTCCCTTCTCCATTCTCCACTCAGGATTTTGGGCACACATATGCATGTGCCTACTGTGTTTCTCAGGCCACTGGGTCCTGGACTTGAACTTCAGAGTTGGCCATGTGGGTTCTAGCACCATAACCACCATGCCACCTTCTGTCCTGACTCTGTTTCTAACAGATTAGTTTTTTTTAATTTATTTTAGTCTGGATCTTGAATTTCAGTGTTAGAGGATTTCTTCAGATATCATTTTGGTTGACTGAGAAGCTGGTGGGAATCTGTCGGAACCTGCAGAAGGGCTATAATAGAAGATTTTACCCCTATTCTGGGGATTTTGAGGGACTGGTCAGTCTCCAGATTCTGGACTGGTGCTTCTCAAAGTGCCTGGTGAAGCACAAGGATTTTTTAAAACCCCAATCTGTTGTAGATTGATAGTTTTAAACTACAATAAAAATAAATTACTTGAAAAGTGGAATTTAAGTGCTTACTTCGGCAGCACATATACTAAAAATTGGAATGATACAGAGAAGATTAGCATGGCCCCTGCGCACGGATGACATGCAAATTCATGAACCTTTAAGTTAGTGACATCAATTCTAGTGTAAGAACAAGAAAGTCTAAAACTTGAATTCGTACGTAAAATACAAGTTTGTACTTGTACTTGGAAGTTGATTTCTTACTACGAGCTGCAATGCATTACCATGTACCAGTAATTCAGTTACAGATAATCCTGTGTATTTAAATATATTTGTTTATGCACCTATAGAACTGAAACTAAATAGAAACTTGACAAGAATAGACAAGCATTTTTGTATATACCAGTTAGAAAGTTTTGCCATGGGTCAGAGGGCTTATAAAAGTATTAACCATAAAGCTAAAATAATTAACTCGAAAATCCATCCATTCCTTTATTCAATAAAGTTAGATTTTAAAAAAAAAGTGGAATTTAAAGAACGAGAACAGACTGGCCTCATAGTGCAACAACTAAGTGCTGTGCTCAGAAAACTGAATCCCACATGGTTGACCATGGTTTGAGTTCTGGCCCCGGCAGCTTGGAAAACTCACCAGGCACTTGTGTCTGTTCCCCAAATTCTGATGGGATAGAAAAATGGAGGAAAAATGATTGCAGTGTAACCATGCCCCATTGTGGGGAGTGCTTCCTTTCTCTCTCTCTCTTTCCTCTTTCTCTGCGAGCTCATGCCCCACTGGCAATTTTTAGAATTAGAAAGAAATTTTTAAAATAAAGACATGTAAGACATAAGTTTATATTTTTGTATAAGATGCAACAGATAAAAAGTTAACTGTGTGAGAATTGATGTAGTAGTTGCTAAATGCTTCCATTCAATTTCTGTATCCATTTTGTCATGAGCTGGTGAGAAAATGTTCATGCACTATCAGCAGCAGCCTCTGTGTTAAGTGTCGTATTTTAATGTAGGAACCAACTTAGAAGGGAAAAGGGTGTGGGCTGGGGTCTCATCTGCGTATAGTCATTTAATCCTCTTGCTTTTGTATGTTGCCTACTCTCTCAGTTGTGCCTAGTCTCCCCTGTTTCAGAGATTCTATTTTACCTTTTGGAGAGAATAAATCTCTAGGCTTCTGCTATGATGGGGGAGCAGCAGTAACCTATAACATGATAGAGTGGGGAAGGGAATTTTAGTATCCAACTCAAATCAAGCAGCTTTCTCCAGATTTCTTTTGATTTTAGCTTCTCCCTTCCTACTTCTCCCACTGCAGTTACTTGCTATCGCCAATTCCTAGGTGTTTTGAAGATTCAAAGAACGAAATGGGTAGTTCTTAGTTTTTCCCACTGTCTGCTTGGGATTAAGTTTTTTGGGTCTGCACAATCATTTACTAGCTATTTATTTGCTTTTTAGCGTGAAAAATTTTGTTGCTTTTGTTACCTCTCCTGTTACCCATTGTTAATTTTTCTGCTAGGGCTTCTTATATATTAGACGTTGCAAATGTTTATCTCTCCAGTCTTTTCTGCTTTCTTAACTGTATTAGCAATAGTATATTTATTTGTATGTTGTAGATTTTATTGTCTGTAGATACTTTTTCTGTATTGCATTTTTTCCCCTTTTTTGAGTTCTTTCTGATTGAAATTTGATTTAGTTGAAAGTACTTACTCAAAACTTTTTTCCATAAGGAGTACATGTATGTACTTCCCCTTCTCTGGGTGGTGAGTTCCAAGACTCCCAGTGATACCTGCAACCGTGGATAGTACGGAACCCTACACAGTCAGTCTCTTTCTTAAGATGGTTTACCTTAAGTTTTTTGACTTTATAGTGATGCAAAAAGTGATGCACATTTGGTAGAAACCCATACAGGTGTTCTGATTTTCACTTTTAATATAGTATTAAATAAATTACATAGGCTATTCAACACTATTATAAAATAGACTTTGTGTTAGATGATTTTGCCCAGCTGCAGGCTAATGTAAGTATTCTGTGCACATTTAAGGTAGTCTAGGCTAAACTATATAACTTTAGTAGGTTAAATACATTAAATGCAGTTTCAACTCAAAGGTATTTTTAACTCACTATGGGTTTACTGGGATGTAACTCCAAGATAAAGAGCATACATTTTTTTCCTGTACATATGTATATTAAAGCTTAATTGATGAATTAGGCACAGTGAGAGATTAACAAAAATTAATAAAATAGAAGAGTTATAGTAGTACACTGTGATAAAAAGTATGTGAATTGCAGTATCTTTTTCAGAATATCTTAAAATGCTATACGCACCTCTTTTCAGATTGCACTTGATTGAATATCTGAAACGTAGGTAAACAAGACTGCAGATTAGGGGAGACTACTGTAGCATGTTATGGATTTTTGCATAAAGTGTCCCTTTTCCTCATGTGTGAGAGTTTTCTGGATATAGAATTCATTCTTAAGGGGACCAGCAGATGGCGGAATGGTTATATCGCTGGATTTTCATGTAGTTGACTGTGATTTGAGACCTGGACGCGGCGGCTTAAAACTTAACTGGGTGTGTGTGCATGGGTGCCCAGAATCTCAAGAGGAGAATGGAGGAGAAGGGATTATGATGGCATGGCCATCTTTCCAGGGGATGATTTCTCATTTTCTATCTCTCTCCAGCGAGCAAATGTGCCTATAGCAAAAATCTCTCAAAAAAAAAAAAATTCTTAAGTTTAGAACTTTATGGAAGTGTTACCCCATTATCTTCTAGCATTTAGATTTATGAATAAAATGTCTGATTAATATTGATGTCTGATTAAAGTTAGTGTTGCCGAGCCAGCCCTGTGGCCTGGTGGTTGAAAGGGCAGTCAGATCCCACATAGCCAACCTCAGTTTGAATCATAGTCTCTGGTGGCTTGAAAAATATGCCAAGTGTGGTATGCGTATATGCCCCAAATCCTGACTGCATGGAAGAACGGAGAAGAGATTGTGGTGTGACCACACCCCATTGAGGAGTGCTTTTTCCCCCTCTCTCTCTTTCTGGTGAGTACATGTGCAAATAGAAAGTTGGTGTTGTTGATGAAAAATTGAATGCATTTTGGGTAACTTCCTCACCCCATCTTTTGGGTGTAGCTTTCATTTTCATTTTAAAACTAAAAATTTTTACTAGGATAAGTTGTGGGTGTTCAATTTTATATTCTCATCCTACTGACAGTCTTTTCTGGCATCTCGCAAGCCTTTGACTTTGAAAATTCAAGTACTTTTTTAAAAAATAATTTTTAGAATATTTTTAAATTTACATATAAGAGTTATGTAACTTTGTAGAGTACAGTATGGTTTTTCAAAATATGTATGTATGGGAACCAGCAGTTAGCGTAATGGCTATGTCGCTGGACTCCCACGTAGTCGACCGCGGTTCGCGTCCCGGACCCGGTGGCTTAAAACTCACGCCGGGTGCTTGTGCGTGTGTGCCCAAGATCC